TATTGGGTCCAGGCTTTGGCCGTTAGAAGAAGACGGCCGCTCTGGGCTGGATGGGTTCAGCTTGGCTACGTAGAGTAATTTCCTCAATATTTGCCTGGACACTGCAACTCACAAGCGAACTCTGAGAACAATGAACCATGAGAGGCAGCTAAAAGTTACGCGATGACAGAGAGGTGATATTTCTTCCCGAGTCGCCACCCTTTGCTTTTTGCTCGAACGTCAACATGCACGTAACAACATCTCACTTCCAAATTATTATTGTCACTGGACAATTCACCAAACGGGGAGAGCAGAACGAGCCTATTATTTAAGAGAATACAATGGATATCTATTCTAGTATTTTTTGCCTACAAGTTACTTATCAGTGCTACTTCTACACCAGGACCCAATGAGCTTGAGCAAAGATTGTGATCGAAGAATTTGGGTTCTACCCAAAACCAGGTATGTCCGTTTTTGATTGAAACAGCAAACGTTTGTCAAATGGGGCGCAAAAATACCGGATGCCCACTTGCTACAATTTTCTGGAGCTGATATCCCCAGAGAGGAATATGAGTTAACTGTGCATCGATAAAAAAATCAGTAGGAGATACCCAGGTAACAAGGCTTTTTGGAAGTAACATGACGCGTAATCTGCATATTTGGACCCTGGTCAGGACGCCGGAGGATAAACGCAGTCGAAACCAATGGTTCAATATGACTTCATAAACAATCGGCTGAGTGTTATGAAAATGAGCTACGGAAGCGTCCAAAGTTGGAACCGCGCGCTCAGCTTGTCTAAACGATAGGGTACGGACTGTAGTACAGTACTGGAGAGTTCCAAGGTTTTATTTCCAGGGCACGTGGTAGATGTCCAGAACCCTCCAGTAGACGCGCTCTTGCCCGGACAGATCTGCAACCCTCCACCAGACCATCGCTGACAACTTGTTGATCAGGAGAACTTTAATGCAACGACATGTTTTCACTGAAGCTGGCTCTCGAGAAGTTCCCCAGGGTCGCCGTCAGCTTGCGAACTTTTATCCTCTTCAAGAACAACAAAGAAGCTGTCCGAAGCTTTTACCAAACTGTCGTTTATGTCCTTTTTCTGAGCGCGAACAGCTACTTACTGACCCCCCGAGTCCTCTAATTTACTTAATCCTGTCGCCAGAGATCGAAGTTCTGGAGGATCATTCGACTAATAATTCAGATGAGAACAATGGCCAGAGAATCGCCGTCGGTTGTTTATTGTAGATCAAGTGGAAATATGATATTTTTACACAATCAGGAAACTCCGGAGGGTTACGGCCTGACAGTCCTATTTTGATAACTTGCATGAGATCGCATCGGATGCGAACGACCGAAGTACGCACACATATCCCCAGCGGTCACCTCACACTTGGCCGTCACCATTTAAATTTATTTAGGAGTCAGCAATGTTTCGTCGCGGAAAGGCAATGGAAATCAAACCCTGGATCAAGACACTGATGCCTCGAAGGGTACTTATGCATGAGGTCTCAGTCAAGGCTGACAAATCCCGGATAATAACCATCACTCCATGTGAATATCATGTCTGCTAATATCTTCTTACCCCTCTAACAACCTTAAGCTATCGAGTGCCCTGGCATCCAGGGCTGCCAGTGCTGGTCAAGCTTGTAATTCCCCACCGGCTGAATATGCCAAACCGAATATATGAATAGCAGCCAGTATCCATCCAGCTTACACTTTGATCTATCTCACGAGATGTTGCGATTTGTCACATCAATTGTTTCATATTCAGATGTGCAAATTCCAACCAAGTACAGCCCCGCAAACTCCACACATCAATTGAATCGGCCACAATATCAACATTGCTGCGTGGGTTTTCTGTCTTTCAAGGAGTCATTGCTTGCATCCAAGACAACGGAAATACTCAGACATTTCATTTATTATACCACGGGAAAACATAGCCTTGCATATACGGAATTACTGTACGCGCTTATAATCATGTGGTTTCCTCCTGATGATTTACAGCAACGTAAAGCGTTAATCGATAATAATTAATACGCATTAAATGCTGGACCCCGGCATGTATTTAATCGTTCTTTTAGGTTCTCGCCACTGCTGATCGGCTTAAAGAGCAAGAATAATCTAATCCGCCCAGTGGATAATGTCAGTAAGGTGCTCTTTTGTAAGATGATCTTGTAAGGAGGACATCGAAGGGATCATGAATAATGTTGTTGACCACTTTCTCAAGAGTTTTAAACATAAATGCCTCCTTCATAGCACTTTTCCCAAGGCTCCAAAGTCCGAAGCAGAGTGTTCTGAGTATGCTTGGAGATTTTGTTGCAAGAAATCTTCCATTTTCCGGCAGCTAGGAAATCTTTTTTTGTCAGGGACCTAGGTTGTAGCGGCTGTTCAGAGTGACAGATTTTAGATACACATGGCGTCGAGCGGGGCGGGTGATGTCGTTACTTGATACCGTGTTGGAAATAACCTAGATGCAGAAGAATTTAAAGAGCCTGAAGGGCAATATGCTGAAAGAGATGATGCCCAGTAGCTTGATGAACAACAAGCATTGCTCTGAAAGCGGCAAACAAAGATAAAGCGTACACAAACCATGTAAGTCTAATGATATATCGCCTTCCTGGCTGGGTATCCAATTTGATAACGGAAGGCTTTGTATCATAGCTTATAGAAATATGCAGGCACGCGTTGGTAGTCAAGCCAACACCTCGGTGTCATGACCAAAGACTGTCGCGTTCTTGCTAGCTGAATTTTCAACCTCGGTGTCTAGCTAGGGTGTGAGAAAGCTAGATTAGCCTTTTGATGAATTGCCGCCTCAATAGAAGACATCTATCCAGCTGCACAAGTACAGAATCTATAATGTAGACGTAGTAGGGCTATCTTCAAGTTCCGCCATGAACGTTATTCCTCGCACCAATGCAGGTGACAGTTGGGCGTTGGAGGCTGATAGGCGGAAGCGGATAGCGCACGGACCAAGATGTTAGCTAAACCTCTTCTGGCGAAAGTTGAAGTTGATGCAAAACCAAATCCTCCGAAATCCAAGAGGCCTCATCAACTGCAGAGACAAGCCGTCGGGGCAACATGTCTTTCTTTGGCTTCGACACGACTCTGCCTAGGGACCGCCCCTCTGGCCAACAAACGCGGGGTATTTTCGAGAACCCTGACCCCTTCGCACACGTTGCCCATGCCGTTGTCCAAGATGATGAGGAAGCGTATATCTCCCTGTCCCTTCTTCGTTCCCAGGCAGTGATATGAGTATACTAATTCAGGTGTGAAGAATCGATTTCGAAGACACCTACGATGGGTTGGGTGACCAGTTGGACGAGGACCAAGATGCGTTTAACGATGACACCTTTGGCGGAGGAGCGGATGAGAAGTCCGTGGGGAAGGATTTCGATTTCTACGGGCAAACCGCCCAAATGTCGAACGTACTTAATGAGGAGCAGATGCTGTATAAGCTGAAGCACCCTCCGCGTGAAATCAAAACCAAAATCTCCAACTCGCACTCCCGCCAAGCCTACGCGGACTGGTTACGAGCTCTATCAAGACCCTGGCTATATCCCTGAGATTCAGGCGAAGTCAGCCGTTTGGGGGACGGGTGTGGGGCAAAAATCAAAGGCAGAAGATGATACCCAATCTCTCAAACCTGCTGCACCAGCGAAGAAGATAATGAGTTTGGAAGAAGTCGAGGCGCAAATGCGGGCACAAAGCAAGAAACCACAGGCTACTGAGCAACTCTCCGCTCCTCCACCCCCTCTTCCAACTATTCCTCAATTCCCAGGAACCGCTGCGCAGGTGGCGGCTCCGCTTACCATGCCTCTCCATGATAGATCTGCACCGCCGCCTGATGGTATGCTGCCATTGTCGCTTCAGGAATTCCCACCCCTTGACCAGGGGCAATATGCTCAGCTAGGGAAGGATGCACGTGCAGCACAGGCATTCCAACACCAACAGTCTTTCCCTGCTATGGAAGCTATACTACCTCGTCCCGGAATGCCTCCCACACCAAACCACCACCAAAATCGACTGCCGCCAAATCCCGCACCACAGTACCCAATACGGCAAGCTCAGCACCACCACCCCAAACCACAGGCATCTATGGGCCCTCCTGGCCCATTACCTGCGACATCCGGCATGCCACCTAATATGGTACCTATGACCGAGGAGCAGAGAAAAGCAAGTTTGATAGAGGATGCAAAACGTGCAAAGCGGAATCACAAGATATTCCTTCTTTCCAAAGGAAACGGTTTAATGACTCCACAAGATAAAAATTTCATTACGCGTATACAGCTACAACAGCTAGTCGCCGCAACAGGCAACGTGACAGATCCAGAGAGCGAGGCATCACTCTCTGAGGATTTTTATTATCAAGTTTATAGCCAGATCCGGGGAGCACCAAGACAACATCCTCGTCAACCCCTCGGTTATTTCGCACAAACCTACCTGTTTCAAACCGGAGGACGATCTGCGGGAGGCATGGGAAGGCGACAATTTTATACCGGAGACAACCATATGCAACGAATGCAGCAGCAAGTTCAAAGGGCGGTGGAAGCAGCTAAACTGAGACCGAAAAACAAACAGTTAATAATTGAAGGTAGCCTCGGTAAAATCTCGTTTAGCAACGCCAAAACACCAAAGCCGCTGTTAAACATCAAGCGTCCCGATAGCTCTGATGGCCAGAAAACCTCTAATGTTAAGAAGGGCCACCATACTGCACTTAGTGCCAGCGATAGGAAATCAATATTGAACAACATTGAAAATGTATATGGAACTCTAATGCAAATGGAAGACCATGAACGAAATATGCCTCCTCCTCCCGATGAAAGCGATCTTGAATCGGTCGAAAGGCATATGGAATGGAGACAAAAGATGCAATCCTTCAACCAGAAACTCTGGGCCGATATGAAAATATTAGAACCGATCGTTCCAGGGTCGTCAACTCCTCATCCTTTCATTGCATTTTTGTCATACCCAAAGGGCAAGAAGGCCATCCCTCGTATTTTCCGGCAAATAGACCAAGAGCAACGTGTCACCATCCTCACCATGATTATTGTCCATCTCGATTCGTTGGATGTTGTCCAGCGCGCACAACTTCAGTCTGGTGAATCTCAGCCACCTCTGCCTGTTCGGGAAGAAGTCGACCTGTTTTCACATGCTGTCATGCCCAGCCTACTTGGCTACGTTAACGAGGCGCCAATTAATATTATCACTGGCCTATTGGGTCTTGTCATTGGGCAAACCCACGTTCAAACAGTGGCAAAGACTCGAGTCGGACTTGGGGTTTTGACCATGTTGCTTAGCCGCGCGGAACTGGTTAAAGAAGCTGGCGGCGTGGAGGACGAGCAGTGGAAGCCGTGGACGGAGCTCTATAACACGCTGTTTGACCGACTAGAGCCAGTCTTTGGCGATATTTTCCCTGGAACTATCAACAGTGGAAATGATATGTACGTGTGGCAGTTCTTAGCTGCTGTAGGTATAGGTGCCAGCCCAGAACAACAGCAACGCTTGGTTATTGCTGTCAAGTGAGTGACCTTTAGGACGCATTCAATACCTCTTTATTTGCACCCTTGCTAATTTTGTTTTTCTTTTTAGGGATCGAGTTATGGAAACTGTCGCTCAAAGCAAAACCCTTCCGGCGGACATGGCCAGTCAACGCCTTGGTAATGTCAATCTCTTCATGCGTGCCATCGGGCTCGACGTTGAACTCTTGGGATAAAAGTACAGCCAGCCACATGTATACTTACGGGAGATTTTCGGTCTTTCAGCTATGATGGTACATTCCTCCTTTTGACCGTCTATATTTTAACCCTTGTCAAACTATTCCGCGGGCCGGTCCTCAAAATAACCTACTCGGCAGAAGCATAACAGTGGAAGTTACGCAAACTCATGACGGATATTGAACAATTTATTGCTAACGCGAATACATCCATGACGTATCTGAACCACCTTCATACAATATTCTACTTTTCCTTTCCATTCTTTATTCTACTTTTCCTTTCCATTCTTTATTCAATGAGGGGATGCAGCTTAGGATAAGAGAGTTGAAAACGGCTTCCTATCATGTGAAATTAATCCTGTAAATAGTATGTCGCGGCCAAGATACCAACTGCGTCCTATTTTAGTCGTTTCTTTCCTCTGACTTAGTTTGATTATATGTACTGTTTTCATGGATTCTTCTTCCATCACCATAACTAGCTTTTATGGCCGCTGGACTATATGTGTTGATTTGTCTGCCCTCCAACAAAAAGAATCCTCGCATCACTCGCAATGCGTTTTGGCTTTATATATTTTTTCATTGTTATTTATTATTAATATCACAACTCGAGCACTTCGTTTCCCTCGTCATGTTATTCCACCTTGACGTTTCTTAAGTCTTTACTTACTTTCATGACGTTCCGGAAATCTAAAAATCATTGCCTCAGCCTATCGGCAAAGGAGGAAGGGGTATTTGAATGATGCTGATTAGTTGCCACAAATCTTTTATTTTTATGGAGGGGATTTAGGG